ATCACCATAATCGCCTAGAGCATCGAGAATATCGGACAGTGCACCGTAGTCAGTCTGATCATCTTGAATAAGCTGTGTACGCTGTTGTTGGAGATTCACAAGAGCCTGACCGGTTACCTTGATTCCGTCAACCCATTCTGAACTGAATGCACCAGCCATAAGCGCTCTGCCAGGTTTTCTTCCAAATTGCATCGATGATGAGTCATTAAGACTGTGAACACTATATTTCATGGGAATGGGGCTTCTGTAGCATGCAGTATTTCCTCCCCCTCTCCGAAATGTGTTACCTAATGTAGTTAGATAAAGCTGAAGATCGGAGAAAGTATTCCATGCGTTAGCTACAGCAGGAGCAATGTGGGGCGTGGGGAGACCGTCACGGCGACAACGCCGCGCGTCTGCAAGCAAGTAGAGCTGTGCATCATACCCATCCTTACCTTGATCCTTATGCTGTGGCAAGAAGCCATCCTGAAACTTAGTGAGCAAACTATCATCGGACACAGTGACACCATTCTTCTCCATGAACGTCTGATAGCCCCTAAGGTACGTAATGAAATGGTCTGCCCAGTACTTAGAATCGTATTGGGTGTTGTTGAAGGTATTTATGTGCTCCTCATTATTGGAGGAAGGTACCACATCCATCGTCGTTTTCACTAGGGTGCTAATGGCCCAGAAGGGATTTGGTATGCCATAGTTTGTGACCAGAGACTTAATCTCAGTCCAGCAGGGCAAGTCCTTTGCCGCTGTCTGGTTTGAGCCATCGATGTCACAAAACCTCTGTAGCAAACCTGCTAGGCCCTGACACCCCCATTCGAAATCGACTGGTTTAGGCAACCGATTACCCCCATGAAGGAGTTCCAACTTCTTGTCTTTGAATGGAGCAATACATAGCAGCAAACTCGCTGCACTTAGGATCGTCAAAGACAGGATTCCTAGTCGCTAATCGATGATTCGTAACAGCGCGGTTCATCAACAGAGACCAGAACTTACCACGTTTGACAACTACGCCGTATGGACGGACGCCGCCGTCCTTTGTCTCTGTCAAAACAAGGTTGTTGGTCTCGGTAGTGAGAAACCACACACTTCTCGACCGATTGTCGTCAATCTTCTCCTGAGCAGCGCCTCTATCTGAGGGAGTAGCATTGATCCATACAGCCATGGCACGGGCAAACAGCAAACGCTGTGCCTCGTCATTTGGATTAATGAATGAGCCATCCTCTCTGATACACCTGTTGTCGGCGTTGACCACCTTAAGAAGCTGGCCCCCACCACCAGATTTAACTCTGTTAGGCATGTAACGCCACTGACGTAAAGCTGCAGACGCAAATTCCCTGGTCCAGGTAGGCCGAGATACCGGCTCATAACCGTCAGGAAGAGGAGCTGGAGCAGGCTCGTAAGCCGAGTCGTTGCGCCCTTGCCGGTGACACTCCTTGATGAGGTCATCAAAGGCATCCTCAAGCTGTGACGCGAGGTGACAACGCAAACGCGCGTACAGATTCGGATCTGTAGCAGGTGATCGGACCAGGTCCTCATATGTGGCATACTGACTGAAGTTGGCAAACATGGGGTTACTAACGTTCTTGTTGAAGACCCCCAAGTTGTGCTCTGCCGTATGATTAACCTGAAACCTGTGTCCATCAAGGAAAGTGTTGAGCTGTGAGTCGACAAACGACTTCGTTCGAGTCTTATCGTCCTTTAGCGTCTCGTATATGTTATCGAGTTGTTCTTCAGCGTCAGCCATAGCTGACGGTAATTTTTATGTGTGAATGTGCACCAGGCTCACAATTAAGGACAGGTGTGACAAGCACCTCTTGGCACACACACAAACAAGAGCAGTCTCTCGCACAAGTGGGAAGGGTACGTCTAACGACGCACCCGCGCCATAACCTGTAAAGAATCTAAGTCCCGTACATCAACTTGACGTTAAGGTACAGTCCGTAGTAGCAGGATAAGCACAGTGGGTGAGAGGGGAAGCTCAGTGTGCTACCTTACGGTAGCTCAGTCATAGGATAGTAACTGATTATAAAGAAGGGGAACGGGAAGGAAGGCCTAACTAGGGTAGGTACAGTACTAGCATGATGGTAGTAGGGTAGTGGTAGTGTAGCGTACTGTACTACAGTATAGTCATGGAGATATAGAGATAGAGAGAGAGAGACAGACATCAATGTCAGTCTATATTCTTTGCAGGTAGCTGGCTTATCGCCAAGCGCACTTTGATTGTGCTTAATCACACTCGCGTTCTGACCTCGATAGTCGCCGTTTATCAGCTAGGCACCACACTAGGGTGTTGTAGTTCGTGCTCTAAGCTTTCGATCGCGCCTAAAAGCGCGTCCAAAGTCGTCCGGCTTCATTCTCATTAGTTAGTTTTTATGTGAGTGTGGAGTTGAGGAATATGCAGCGCGACTCACCTGCGCGACACTCACCAAACTCACCTCCACACCAGGCTGCAGCCTCTACTCCTGAGCTCGCCGGCTCAGCCACTCTCAACAACAACAACCCACAGGCTCCACTGATCCCACCGAACACCAGATGGTAGTAAAATTCAAGCTTAGACACCGGCGATATTCTAGTCGCGAGGGGGTGCAGGGTGCGCGCGCGCGACAGGGCGGAAGGCGGTGGGCTCCTGTGCCATACCGCGGCTGGAGCGGCCGCGCGCGCGGCCGACGTGTGCTGGCTCAACGCGGGTGGCGGCGCCGCCGCCGCGGCAGACGCGTCCAAAATTTGGCAGAGCTTCGCCGTCGTGACGTCGGCGTCCGCCGACGCCGGCGGAAGCACCCCGCCCGCGGGCGTGTGGTTTGCTTCCGTCCACGCCGTCGAGGCAGTCGCCGCGGCGCGCCGCGCGGTCCGAGCGTGCGCTCGATCGACGCGTCCAAAATTTGGCAGAGCTTCGCCGTCGTGCCGTCGGCGTCCGCCGATGCCGGCGGAAGCGCCCCGCCCGCGGGCGTGTGGTTTGCTTCCGTCCACGCCGTCGAGGCAGTCGCCGCGGCGCGCCGCGCGGTCCGAGCGTGCGCTCGATCGACGCGTCCAAAATTTGGCAGAGCTTCGCCGTCGTGACGTCGGCGTCCGCCGACGCCGGCGGAAGCGCCCCGCCCGCGGGCGTGTGGTTTGCTTCCGTCCACGCCGTCGAGGCAGTCGCCGCGGCGCGCCGCGCGGTCCGAGCGTGCGCTCGATCGACGCGTCCAAAATTTGGCAGAGCTTCGCCGTCGTGACGTCGGCGTCCGCCGACGCCGGCGGAAGCGCCTCGCCCGCGGGCGTGTGGTTTGCTTCCGTCCACGCCGTCGAGGCAGTCGGTGGCGCGCGGGCCGGGCTTCGCCGTCGACGTCGACGTCAGCGCCTGCCGACGCGGGCAGAGCTTCGCCGTCGCGGCGTCGGCGTCCGCCGACGCCGAGCCGCGTTCGGGTACTAAACTAAGATTAGTGATCCCCGACCCGGTGGCGGGCGGAGCGACGAGTGCGTCGCCCGCGGCCGCGCGGCGATCGTCGGCCTCGCGGCGCCGCGGCCGTCGTCGGCGCCGCGCGGGCGAAACCGCCGGCCCGCAGCTGCTCGCAGGGCGTGGGGGACGCGCCCGCGCCGCCGCCGCCCCGCCCGGGCCGCAGCTCATCCGCTCGCCGGCCGGCCGGCCCGAGCGAATCCCCGAGAGCGTCGGCGCGGCCGCGCGGCGACCGAACGCTCTCGCGCGGGCGACAGCGACGGCCCGCAACCCCTCGCGGGGCGCGGGGGGCGCACCGCGCCGGGCGCGGGCCGCCGCAAGGGCGGGGATCGGTCCGCCGCGCGGAAGTCGGCGTTCCGCCGACGCAGAGCTTCGCCGCGCTGACGTCGGCGTCGACGCCGACGTCGGTGGAAGCGCCCGCCCGCCGGCCGACGGGCGCTCTCACAAAAGCCAAACACACAGCCCGCCGAGTGCCGAGCACACGGCGGAACTGTGGCCACTTCTGTGTGAGACACAGAATTGGCCAAGACCGATCGAGTCGATCGAGGGTGTGTTTGGGTTTGCCCGAGAGACAGTCTCTGGACAAGGGTTAGGATTAGGAACCGGGCTCGGTTTTACTTCAACCACAAGTGGTTGAACTTTTGTTGAACTTCAATAAAAGGCCTCGGCGTGCAAGACACGAACATGGACCCGGCCCCCCGCTACCCGGCCGAGCCGATGTTGATGCCCGTGCGCCACCTGTCCTTCCTAGGAACACCGAACCCGCCTGAAGAGCACTACGTCGTCGGGCCTCCGCGGCCGCGGGGGCCGTGCTACATGTGCCGCGGGCCGCTCCAGCCCATCGGCTTTGCGCGCAAGAACGGCAAGGCGCACCCCGACTGGCGCGCCCGACGCTACCACAAGAAATGCCATGCCAGAATTATGCGCGAATGGCGAGCCTCCAGCTTGCTCTTCCGAGGCCCGCCGACGATTCGTCCGAAACCGCCGCCCCAGCCCGCGTACATGTCCGCGCGCGAGACCGCCGCGGCCACGGCGAGCACGGCGCCGAGCCCGCGCGAGTCCCGCGTGCCGCCGAGCGCCGCCGCGACGTGGCTCGCCGCGAGGCTCGCCGCGCCGCCGTCGCAGCCGCCGACGTCGACGGTGCGGGCCGCAAGCACCTCCACGAGCCCGTAGAACGCGAGCCGCGCCGCCGCGCCGAGGCCGCCGGCCCGACAGCCCCGCGGCGCGCCCGTCGTCGAAGCGTGCGGCACCACGGTGCGCGTGTCCCGAGGGTGAGCGAGGAGGGCCGCTGCTGCCGGGGCTGCCCCCCACTCCCTACTCACATAAAATTTGTTGCCGGACCCCAAGTCGATTGTCACCTGCACCACGGTCGGCGTGTGTCCGGCATGGCCGCGAAGGGCTGCCCTGCCGTGCGCGTCGCCGTCGTCGCGCTCATCGCAAACCACACGCTCGCCCATGTCGTCCGACGCGAGCGCGACCGTCGGCTCCGAGCTGCGCGCCAGTGCCCTGCGCTGGCCAGGACTCACCAAACTCACCAGATGTGAGTGCTGCGCGCACATTGCAAGGTGAGTGGTGGTGGGGGGAAAATGTGGTGCTCGTTCAATGCAATTTCGCGAACGGTGGTTCCTATATTTTCATCGATGTTGCGATGAGGTGGGTGCATCCCGTGCTTGGTCTAGAGCTGCAAGCGCAGTTAAGCTGGCTGGCTGAACGACTGCCGGTGTATATGGTGTACACTCGTAGCCACTAGAGTCATCAAATGAGTGCGCGCGGTCGCAATCTCAGGAAGAAGTCGCCGTGTAGTCATCTGCTCGGCGTCGGTTGTTATGAACTATCTCAACTTCTTTCGCACTTCAATGCTTTGCGGGACACATCACCTCGATTTTGTTTATCATCGCCAGCTCCATGTATGACGTGTGGATACGCACGCCTCACACGAGGTCACGATGTTCTAGTTTGCCTTCACTGTGGTCATGTCGGCTGCTGGAACCCTTTCATTGCACAGGATGGACTGCGGGGCTCGGGAAGACATGGGCAGCTCCATTTTACAATGGATGCCAGTCATTGGCTCGCTGCTCACGTAGGCCGATTTGAGCTCTACTGTGGTCGCTGTGGTGATTTTGTCAGCGATGACTGCTTCCAAAGTCGGTTAGATAGCCCCTCGATCAGGCTCGCGAGGTCTGTTTGTGGTTTCGCGGGTTATATCTGGACTCAACTCCGTGCTAAATATAGGTGTCCGAATTACAATTATTTCGTGGAAAGTTCCGCATGCGTAGAGGCGACCTCGTTGAAAACAAAGTCGACTATCTGGCCAGAGCGTGCCTTGGGTGATATTCCCTGCCTTCAGCACTTCAAAGGCGAGCCAGACAAACGTGAATGGGGAGGCCGAGGCCTTCGAGGACTTGTCAACATGGGAAATACATGTTTCATGTCATGCATCCTTCAAGTTTTAATCCACAATCCAGCCAGCCAAGCATACTTCCTCGAACGTGGCTGCGCATCGAGAGCTTGCCTCGGGAAAACAATTGTTGCCTGTGGCGATTCCGAGCGCACGAAGCCTGACAAATTGTGGATTTCAGAGACATGCATCTCATGCGAGTTGGCATATTTCTTTGCGGCCATTTTTGAACACAGGGACGGAGCACAACGCACTGCTGACCCAATTGTCCCACACCGCTTATTGTACACAGCGTGGAAACTTACTGATCTCATGATTGGCTATGGGCAACGCGATGCTCACGAATTTCTCATGATTCTCCTGGACGGACTTTTGATGCACTGTAGCCGAGATCAAGCACATAACTCAATAAGTTTCATCCACAAGACCTTTCGGGGTCTTTTCCGATCCGATGTTGTACAACACTACTGTGCACTTCAGCGCAGTCGCGTTTGATGTCAGGTGCATCATAGGTCTGCACAGCATGTGGTACTACAAGCTCATATACTGAACCATTCTTTGACTTGAGCGTCCCTGTCGGCGACACTGCGAGCCGGTTTCAGTGTAATGGGGTTAAAGGTAGAAAATAGCACAATTCTCATAGGGCAAAATGTGGATGCAGAACCAGCTAGGCCACTGTGTTTGGAGGACTGCCTAGCCCACTTTACATCTGTGGAAGTTCTTGTAGATGCACACATCTGCAGTGGTTGTGGTGCAGCTGTGAAGCGAGAGAAGCAGCTCACCATCGAGGCGCTTCCAAATGTTCTCATCGTCCATCTGAAGCGTTTCGACGCCCTCGGATCAAGGAAAGTTACAGAAGTGGTCGATTTCCCAACCGACAGTCCTCTTGATCTTGGTCCGTTCCTTTCGAAATGGCGTGCGAAAGCCAATAACAAATCTTCATTGCCAACACCCCATCTCTATGAATTGAATGCTGTTGTTAACCACCATGGCGACGCAAACAAAGGCCACTATACATCTTTTGTCAAAGACGGCGGTCTCTGGTTCCTTTGTGATGACCATAGCATAAAACATGTCGATCTAGAAACTGTCAAGCATAGTGAAGGGTACCTTCTCTTCTACATTCGCAAGGTCATGGCGGTAGCTAGCTAGCCGGTTGGGATGTTGGCAATTTCAAGTACTGGCCTGCCCGGACTTCCTGGGCTCCCTGGAGTGCGCTGCGCGCGCCCACTTCTACCCGGGGAACACTTGGGGACCGCGGCATGTCGATCCTAACTATTCGAAATAATCCTGGTTTGCTCTAGCACAATATCAGGCACCGGCCGTTGCAGCTGTGCCGCGCGTGCGGGCTGTTGCGGGCACGCCCCGGTCAGTGGTACTTATGCGATGCTACTAGCAGGACTCTGTGCGGCATTTCGTGCTGGTTGGTAGGGGCGGCGAGGAAGACGGCGTCGCCACGGTCAGCGCACCGCGTCAGAAAAGCGCACACCCAACCGCCCGCCGCGAACCCGAGGGCAAGCACGACGCGGAGGGCGGGGGGGGCGAGCGCGGCGAGCTCGGCGACCGTCCTCTCCTCGGCCGACGACCCGAGCGACGGGCTGCTCCGCGGCAGCAGCGACGCCGACGGATTGCCCGTCGAACCGGACGTGCTCGTGGCGCATCGGCGGCCGTGCGCGAGGTAGTAGAGCGACGGCACCATGCACTTCGCCGATGACCAGGGGCAGCTGCGAGAGTTACATGGACTGGCCTACTGGCGTTAGCGCCGGGGGGGGAGGATCTCAGTACTTTGGAGGACTCAGCCTGAGTCGGAAAACTTTGAAGGAGAGGAGAGCCTCCTGGGACACGTCCGCGGTCGTCACAGGCCCAGCCAGGCCAAAATCCGCGATGTCACTTTCCGCGACGAATTAGGTCGCCCCTCGTACACCTCAGGACAAATCCGACGTTCCGGTTTCATTTTCGACGTCCTTGGTACCGTGTATGACTCGTGACCTCACGAAAGCGCGCGCGTGCGTGCACGCGCGGCCGAACCTCACCGCCTCCGGCAGAGGAGGCCCGGGCCCTGTATCAGGGGCCGGGTACCCCCCCCTTGGTGCTAGCTTCCATATGACCATATCACGCCCTACGTCCGGGAGGCGCGCGGCGCCGCGGGCGACACGGTGCTTACCGCGCAATGCATGAGGGTTCGGGCCGTGCGGGCCTTGACAGACCACTCGGGAGGGGCATCAAAAGGGGTGTTTACTCGAGGTCGCGCGGCCGGCTCGACCCCTGGAACTAAGCTGGTCCCCTCGTCGGTCGCCCCTCACCATTTACGGCCGTTCTCGTCATCCACGGGGGCAGCCCCCGTCACGGTGCGGTCCACGATCCCAGTGGCTTTGAGGTCCGCAAACATGCCGGTCGGCCCGGGGCACATAAAAAGACGCGACATCCGGACGATTGCGAGGCGACGCAAACGGGCAGCCTCAGGGGGTGGAATGGGGCGCGGCAACTTCCCCCGACCCGACTTTCGGTCTCCCCCGACCCGACTTTCGGTCGTCTTCGAGTCACAGAGCGTGGTGCCGCAAGGCTAAAAGTTGGGTGCCGAAAAAGGCGGGCAAACTGCAGCAAACCCTGCACCAACATAGTGGGAGTCTACTCTCCATAGACTTGGTGGGGCCACTGCGACGCACTACAGAGCACCAGAATTGTTACGTGTTGACGATGATGGACGCGTTAAGCCATCTTCGACCGCCGATAGTGTTTACCACGTAACTCGCAGCCGGGCCCGAGGCGCGGCAAGGCCCACAGACCGAGCGCCGCGCCAAGTTCCGGAGCCGCTGCATCGGATGCCCCCACTGGCCTAGCTACCCCTCTCTAGATGTCCCCAGGGCGAAGCGACCGACTCGGCTAGACTGTTCGAAGCACAAGAAAGCTCGCCATCCGAGAGGCTAAGATGCGAAGCATCTTCAAAATCTGGGGGATCAGAGGTGATGTGTTCTTTGCCTTTGGAGGTAACGCTGTGGTACATTGCAATACCCCGCACACGTGTTGCGCCTGACTGCTGGCTTTGGGGTATGGCGATCGAGGAAATATTTGGTGAAGTGGTGCTGATTCCTAGGCCCTCCCGGCCGAGTCCACAGTAGCTACCTCCAAGATGCCTCGATGCCTCGGAGGGATAGAGTTGGGAATTGATCGGGGAGAGTAGTGTGCCGGTGCGTTCATTGCCGGAGATGTTTAGCTTCGAGTTTCGTTTGACTGCGGCCGCTGAGAGAGGTCGTGCCACATGGTGGTGGAGCTCGGCGAAACGCGACGTATGATGGCGGGGACCAAGCATGGCATGGCTTAGTGAGTTGCTGATCAGTCTTGGGTGAGCCACCTCGTTGTGGCTTGGAGCGTGCATGGACTGTGCTGTGAGGTAGCTACCCCACCTTCCGCTTAACTTACCGAGATTGCGCGGTGGTTTGCACACGCCAACGTTTGAAACATGAGCGCCCGCTCGACGATCGTCTCCAACAGCGGTTCCCCTTTTGTCAGATGCTTCAAAATCTTGGCGTTTGTGACTTGTTTCCTCGCGCTTCAAGTACTCACGAAAGTCGACGTACTTACCATATCCGCTGTTGCTGTCGACGGGGGAGGGGCGTTTCCGTAGGGTAGTGACCTTACGGATGGTCGGGGCCGTGGCTGGCCGTGCGCGGTGCATTTCCCGTGTTACGATTGTGGTCCCTATGACAGTTTGCGAGCGTGCCTGAGTGCGGTTGATCCCGTTGTATGCATCAGATGTTGCGTGACTATAAAGTCTCGACTGCGCTGCGTGTAGGTATGCCACGTCTGACCCTGCGCTGACCGACGCGAAAATCCCTCCTAGCTTTTTAAGTTCAGTCATGGTCTGATTTTGCAGTCTAAACAGCGAATCCGTCCCATACTCCTGACGAGACTTTTCCCGCCTGATCATTTCGACTGGCGTGATAGAACTTCTTTGTGGATGAGTTTCTGCATGCGCGCCTTTCACTCCGGGTGGTCGAATTAAGAGAGAAAGGCGAGTTGCGTTATTACTCCTCAGGAAACCAGTTATACGTGCTGCACGACGCTGCGTGGCCCGTAGCAGTCGCTGGCCTTTGCTAGATTGACCATCGATCGAGATACTGCGGCGCCGGGCAAATGCCATACACGACGGTGCGTTTGTCGTTGTTTCTCGATGCATTGCGTTAATTAAGTTCTTATCCAGTAATTGCCTTAAGGCGGTACCATATGGCCTAGCTAAACAAGCAGGCAAGCTCCCCGCACACGGGGAGGCTGAGCTCGATTGGTTATGCCAGGAATGAAGGCCAACGCAGCTTGGATGGCACAATAATAATTGTAGTAAAATTTTACCGCGGAGGCAATTATTACTCTAGAGTATCTTCGTGTATCGGGCGCCGTCCAATTGCCGTCCATGCAGCGAGCATGGCGTGATGTGGTCACCGCGGCTCGACAGTACCATGCGGAGGATGACGTGATCTTCGATAAGCTGGTGCTAGCAATTAAGGCTGCAACAATGTTACGGCATCAGGGCTGTGTGTATCCTGCGTGCGAGGGGCATGAGCTGAAGACATTGTCTGACTTGGCTGCAAGTCATCCACGCCCAATGGTCCGTCGCGCGTCTGCCGTGCTTCTAGTGTCAGTCTTGTCGGAAAATGCCGTGGTGCAGAGGCGTGCCCTGTCTTCAAGTGCCGTTTGGAACCTCGAGGAATGGCTTGTGGTGGCCCCGAAGGCCGGATTATACACATCACCATTGAAGAATTCTCTGATAGAAACGCTACGTAGAGCAGAGGAAGCCTTAGCCCTGGGTCTCTTAGCCGGGCGACCCAGTTCACTCCCGGCAGGAATTAAGAACCGGAAAGTTTTGGCAGAGATCAAAGCAGGCCCAGATGGACTCATTTCCGCCGTGGGCGTCAGACTTTGTCGAGAGAAAACGCAAAAGCCCACAGTTTCCCAACGCACTTTGTGCAAAACCCCACAGATGATACCAAAAGAGACGGAACGGGAGCTTTGGCGAGGTGGGGGCATCCTTAAGGGGCGGGATGGTGCTCACTTCCCCAATGCCGTCTTCTTCATTCTCACTGTGGTTACATTGGGAACATTGCAATGCTTTGATGATGACAACGAGCGTGTCAACAATGGCGAATTCTCTTGTCGCAACGCCTGTCTCTTTCGTAGATTGCCTTCGACGTGCTGCATGCATAACAAGGACTCTCTCCATCAGGCTCTACGATTGCTACGAATCCGTCTCTATGCTAGTGATCCCAGCATCTGTGACGCGGAATGTCTCGCTGAGTCATACTCAAGCGAGCTGGACGTGCAAACATTTGTCACTTCGAGTGGGCACATAGAGGCTAGGTCGCTTCCTACTGATGTCGCCTCGGCTTGTGGAAATAAACAACAACTCGAGGGTATCGCCGCACTTTCTGATGGGGACAAGGCACGCATCTTCGCAGAACATAAGATCTGCCTACCTACCGAAGGTACATTTCGTAAGGACCCAATGACGCCGACATGGCGGCCATCGCACGCGGGTGCATTCCAGCACCAAATCCAGGATCCTAGAAGGAAGCAAGCGCTCAAGCTTGCAGCTTGCTGCACACAGCTTCTTGTTGCTATCGAGGGTCAATCTTCCTCGCTGAAGCGCACGATTCTACTCCGGGTAGTTGCCAATATTAACAAGGCGCTTATCCGTACAGTACCCTCTGGGTCGGAGGATATGCATTCTAGATGCGATGAAAGCAAAACCAGACTTCAATCGGCACTTACTATCGGAATACGTCGACGCTTTATGCGGTGTCGCGATGGCATTATCGAGGAACTCAAGCGCGCCACTTTCGCAGATCTTCAGAATCAGGACTGTGCTAGGTTATCGAAAATGACGGTCCGGGTAACCCTCGATCGCCAAGTTGCGGTCAACGATCATGCGCAGATCCTCCCTCCAGGTCTGGATGATAAGAATCGCTTTGTCAACTGGCATGTTACACGTGCTGGATGCCGCTCCGTGCGCAATAAGAATGATTTCTATGGAGCTTGGAGATCGCATCGAAACTCAGAAAACCGCTTCATATGCTTGACACTTGAGTTGCCAGTACAGTGCGCTCGTGCACAGCAGCCGCCTAGTAGAAGTCTCAGGCTCAATGCATTTGAAAAGCTCCGACATGATGCGATTCGCCAACTCCTCTGCATTCTCGACCCATGCGTGCAGCAACCGATACACAGTAGCGTGGCGTGCACCACTGACGATGGATTTATAGCGCCACAGGTCTTCCTTGGCGAGGCATGCATCGCTGATCATGGCGTTGACAGCAGAACAGAACTCCAGCAATCTACTGATGACACCACGGAAATGGACACCACACGTGAGGCTTCTAATGTGATCGATATTGCTCAGTTCAGGAGCAAATATGAACTCCACTTGCGCGGTAGGAAGCTTGCCGCCCGTGCCAGCAGCATCCTGCTCCACAAGATACGCAACCGAGTTAATGAGAAAAGTGAGATTGCCCGCAACGAGTGCCTCAAGCGTATAATTGGCGTAGAAGATAATTATTGCAAGGTGCATATGCTTACTAGGAAGGGGGGAGGAGCAAAGGTCCGTAGACGAAGAGGATTTGGTTGCTAAGATCGAATATCAAATGAGACAGTATACAAGAAGATACGACAGAGAGCGGGCTGGGAGATTCGATTGGAGATCGGCAGCTGGGATTATGGACCTCATCGCGGTCAGTTCCACGGGCCACTATAGCTGCACATCCCCGCCTTCCTCCCAGCCTGCTCTCTGTCTTGACTTCCCGCTGCAGCGCAAGGGCGCTGGTCAATAGCTAGCTGCCTCCGTGCTTCGCAGAGGGCAGACTAAATCCGACCAAGCAGTGCGGCGCTCATCTTAGCGCGGCGATTGAGATAATTGCCGTTACGACGGTGCTACTGTTTGAGACCCCCCGCAGGGACAACTGGCCTGGCTTCGTTAGCCAGCGCCCCCTCGGGGAGAGAGAGAGGCGTGGTCTTTACTCGCCGCCCGCGCCGTCCGCGCCGTCCGCGCCGTCCGCACCGCTTCGCGGAAGGGAGATTCGAAGCCGCGACCCCCCTCGCGTCCAGCGGGGCATCCAGCGGTTTGGATGGTCTTATTTCAGGCCTCATCAGCCATTCCCGTACATAAACGCCCTCCCTTTGTGACACGCCCAATTTGCCGGCCGCCGCGACTCGAACATACATCGACATGCCAGCACGCGGTGTCCAGCGGAGGAAGCTGGGACGATCGTATGCCCCGAGACACCCGCATTGCACGCCGAAAGAGGCGACTCGCCCATGCTCTGCGAAGCGCATGGCATACAATTTTCTATGACGGCTAGAGGCACACTTCGAGGTGGAGCTGGGGATGGGGGAGGGATTGGGGGCATAGACAGACCAAAATATGGCGGTAATTTGCCCTCAGCCTGACTCTTGACTAGGGTATGGTAATAATTAGTTAGTAGACTAACGAGATAGTAAACTCCGACACGGGGAGGCATACTAAATGAACTGCCGCTGTAAGCATTCGGATCATTGTCTTCCATTGAACCTGCATCTGCAGGAGGCGGAGTATCACCTGGTGGGTCGCTACCAGGCGTTTTGGACTTAGTTATTACACCTGCTACTATAGTAGCAAGTGCTTCGATAGGCTCACTAGATGCTGGCGTTTGGGGTGAGGACCCCCCGAGCTATGGTCACTTTTTTTTT